TATTGCCTCTGATTTTTCCTCGTTTGTGAGAGATTCGTCAGCGTAAATTGTTTGTTGTCTAAATTCATGACGTTTGTATATGTCTGAGTAAAGGTTATAATCGGTTAATGCATATGCTCTATCATTTGCATCGTTAACGAATGGAGGACATAATGCATTGAAATACAACTCCGTGTTTTTATTCCAAATAGATTATGATCGACACTGTTGTTCTACGTATAGAAAAGTAAATATCACATGATATTGTTCAATGTGACTAATACTGCGGAAGTGCAGTCGTTGCAGAAATGAAGTGTATTATTCGTCATTATTATATTATTTTTTTCGAGAAATATATTTCTAAACCTATCGTACTAGGGATTCTACCAAACCGAATTGATCGCAAAATAACGAATAAATAAAATTATTTATTGTATTTAAAGATTTAGAAAATATTAGCGGAAAGATCAAGTAAAAATACAGAAAATGTCGATAAACCAAATAAAATCTATCGCCTTTCCAAAGCGAGTAAACTTAAATGTGAAGGAATAAATAAGAATAACCATATTAAAAGAACAAAAAGGAAATAAAAAATTATCGCTGTATGATTTGAACCTATAAAAATTACAAAATGATCAAAAAAAAATGAAAACAAAATAAAACACTCCAAAGTACTTCAACTCGAAAAAGAATTCCTTAAACTAAAATAAAGAAGTAATGATAAAATAAAAACAAAAACTTTGATTATTGCGATCGACAATTGCGAAGTAAATTAAAAAATTAAAAGTAAAATGCTGCGCCTCTAGCGAAACATATTTTTCCTATTCTTGACTCTAGAATAAGATCTCGCTTTATTAATCAGTACTTAAAAGTGACTTAGACATTTAAGAATCACTGCATTGTCGTAATTTTAAAGGCATATGGGTCAAGCGTTTCTTTGAAGAATTCGCCGATAAATAATATTTATCCTATGAATTTATAAAAATTTTATTTATGATATTGAAATTTTTGCATATTGTAGTGAATTATTAAATTTTGAACTTATGGTACGATATTGTGATTAGAAATCGATTAATCGCGATTAATTGTTTCTCGAGTATTGGTTCTAAGATTCGGTTTATGTATCGATAATTCGATTCTATTTATGACGCTTCGATTTTCTGATCATAATTGTAACGCAGACAATCACCACAAATATTTATTTATTAAAAATGACTTGCCAAGAAAATTATATTATTAATATATAATTCAGCTTAGTTTTCATCTTTATTGTTATTGCTGTAACAACTAAACATATTTTATGCGTTTTTCGGGTTCGAAAGTTTGAAGTACGAAAAATGTGTATTTTAATTTCATTTCTTGAGGCCAATTTGACATAATTATTTCATTGTAACAATAATCTTCAAGAAAGTTAAGATTTAACATTAATTCCCAGATAATTTCTATTTCAAAATCTTTTTCAAAATCTCCATAGCCCAGAGTCTACATTAATTTTAATTTAATTATAAACGAATGATTAAAACATTACGTAACACAATAATTTTTTGACAAATTGAATTTTTTTCGAAATAGCTTTATAAAATGCCTCGTCAACTCCCACTATTCCTTAACGAAGCTGTTGCAAACTTAGATATTCAGAAGTACTGCGAACAAAAAGGCAATTTGGCATTAACAAGAAGGTTTCTGAATACTTTGCTAGACTTTCGTGACATATAATCCGGTTAAGATTTTTCATGCGTTAGAGAAAGCGATGGAATTGCTAAATAGAAAATTTATTCTACATTTCCAGAAAGTTGCATAGTGTGCAGCCAACTAATTAAATTAAAAATATATATGGACCCGTATAAAAGTTTACTGATGAGTTTTTTTTTTCAAATTTCCTATTAAACCAATGTATTGTAAATTTCTGACAACATTGAACACTTATATTCCAAATTCTGCAAAAAAATTTAAATTGTTATCTCTTTTGTGTAACAGTCTGTTTTTCCAAAAAAGACCGTTTCACGCTTCAAAATAATAAAGTAAGACTCACGGATTTATTAATATAGGAAAATAATTTTTTTCTTTAGTATTTTTCAAATAAGTATTCTGTTACAACTTTTTTTTAGGTTATTGAGTATTTATTTAACTTTTTATATTCTTTGAATGCTAATTAAATACAAAGTAATCGAATTTTTAAGATTTCGGATTTTTTAATAGTAATGCCTCCAATTTCAAGGTGAGCTTGTCAGTTGAAAAAGCACGTGAAATTAAAGCTCAAAAGTCAGAAGCAAAGAAAAATGACAATAAGAAAAGAAAAATGAATTGGACAGGCAACGAAATGAATATACAATTCAACAAATATCTGATAAAGAGGTCCCAGCAGTATCCAATGTGTTATCCATAAGGTTTAAATGAAGAATAAGTTGGCTGTCACCACCATTTGGAGAGGAAGTTGCATAAAATATGTTATAGTTGGAATCCATGGATATCAATGAATTTCACGGCGCAGCCGTGAAAATCATGGAAATTCCCTCATATCGTCATAAACAATAACACAACTAACTTTTTTTTATCTATGAATAAACTTTTTGATCATCCTTTTTTAGCGTTATCCTTTCTTTTTTTTACAATTTTTTTTTTACTACAATAAACTTTTCAAACATCCATCTTTTTTAGCGTTATCCTTTTTTTTTTTACTTAACTTTCTCACTTCACCTTTTTAATTTTTATTTTCCTTCTCTTTCATTTTAACTATGGGTAAAAAAAATAGAATTTCTTCATCAACAAATATGCCCTTTCCAAGTTTTCAAACAGCAGCTAGTTTAATTTCTAATGATCCTATTACCAATATTCAAGATATTGCTCAAGAA